TAACTGGAGTCAACAGCTCAGTTAGAGAAGATGGAGACAGACCTTTCAAAGCCTTGTAAACAAAAAGCAAGACTTTGAAATTAATCCCAAATTGAACCAGGAGCCAGTGTAAATTAGCAAGAATGGGTGTGATGTGGAATTGGTTAAGAACCTAGTTGCAGCATTAATCCCAATCAGCACACAGTTGATGTAATCCAGGCGGGAGGTAATGCACGCATGAATGACAGATTCAAGATGCAGGTGTTTGATGATGGATTTAAGCCATGAATTTAAAACAGCAAGACCTGACAGTGGCATTGACTTGTGAAGTCATTGAGATGTCGGAGTCGAGTTTCACACCCAGGCTGATGACACACGATTTAAGGCTGAGTGAGGGGAGATCTGGTATATCTGTAGCGCCATTTATGTTAGTGGGGTTAAAAAGGATGGCTTCTATCTTGGCGTCATTTAACTATAGGCAGTTAGAAGATGGCCAGTTTCTGACCTCAGAGGCATTCTGCCAAAACAGTAGACAAGTGCTGTTGACGGAGTTTGTGGTAAACTTGGGAATTGTCTGCAAAGAAATGGTAGTTGACCTTGTGATTGGATAAAATCTTTCCGAGAGGGAGCATGTATATTGAAAAAAGGAGAGGACACAGGATAGAACCCTGAGGCACTCCCCACGGATGTGGGACATTGGGAGAGGAGCACTCCTCGATATGGACACTAAACCATCAACCAGTGAGGGACGATTTGAACCAGGCAAGGGCAGTACTAGTGACACCCACCAATGAATCAAGCTTATGGAGTAGGATGGTGTGGTCTATAGTGTCAAATGCTGGGGTCAGGTTGAGTAACAATAACAAAATGTAAGAATCAGGGTCCGTTAAAATCAGGATGTGATTGTCCGGGCATGGCGTGTTGGTGAGCGGACGTGTCTAGGGGAGCTCCGACTACTTTTTTCTATAATGAGCTGCTAAAGGAATTGAATATCGCTTTTCTTTCCCCTATCTGACTAGCCATTTCCATTCAATTCCATTCGATCCAATATATCAATTCAGCTCAGCAAACTCTTCTTTTTTGATGTTACCTTAATTACATGACTATGTAGCTGTGTAGTATATTAATTGCTATTAACATTCAAAAAATTAATGAGATATTGGCAATTCACAATGACTGTATGGCCCAATTCTTCTGTCAACGTTTTGCTTTTCACAAACATGCTGTCGGGCAGAATTAGCAAACAGACCTAGAACAGCCAATAAAGGAAGTAAGAAGTGTCAAAAACTGCATCAATGGACTGCAATTGGAACAAGAACCTGGGGCATTATTAAAAGTAACACATTAAGAATTAATCCAAAAGCAGTAGCTGCACGCATGCACACACAAACACACACATTTATTTTTTTATATTTATACATGTCTCCTTTAAACAGCAGCTGAAGACTCACCTGTTCAAGCTGACTTTTGCGAGACCTTCTTCACCACCCTCTCCTTATTCTGCTCTTTCTACCTCATCATCATCATCATGTCATGTTCTGTGTCCCTGTGGTCCCCAGCCCCCTTCAGGTTCTCTCATATGTCCCCTTGTGTTCTCCATCCGTCTCTAGGTTCCCCTTATGTGTCTCCTTGTGTTCCTCATGTGTCTCCTTGTCTGCATCCCCCCTCAGGTGCCTCCTTGTGTTCCCCAGCCCACTCCAGGTTTTGCCCTTAGGGGTTCCCCTTAGGTTTCTGTGTCCTTGTGGTCCCAAGTCCCCTCCAGGTTTCCTCTCAGGTTCCCTTCTAGTCACTCCCCGTAGTTTTCTATAAGTTCAGGTTTTCATTAGTCTCCTTTAGTGTGTGTGTGTTTTCCTTCTCCACTTGTTTATTTCTCCCTCACTTCTCAGGTCTTTAGTTATTTATATTTTGGTTCTCCTGTGCCCTGAGTCTTTTAGGTTTATTTATGTAGTCTCATAGGTTAAAGCTTGTTCCCCTCCTCTGCTTAGTTTTCCTTTCCCATTTTCTTTATTGATTTCATCAGGCTCTCCTCTGGTTCTCTCTCCCCACGCACCTGCTGCTCGTTTCCTAATCACCCAGCCCCTGTGTATAAAACCCTGTCTTGTCTCTCAGTGTGTGTCGGTCCATTGTCGTTGTGTTGTTCTGTTCCTCCTCGTGAAACTCTAGGCTTTGCTCATCACAGAGCTTTTTGCTTTTGTCAATCGGGTTACTGACTTTAGGCTTGGCTTCCTGCCCTGTTTGGATTTTTGAATTTTGGACTCTTCCTTAATAAAGGATTTTACTTTGATTTCGCTCCAGCCTTGTGTCGTTCTGGGTTTCTGCATCTTGGGTCCTAACCTCCTCCTGGCTTTATTTATAAAGCACTTTTCACCACCCTCGAAGGGGGCCCAAGGGGCTGAACAGGAAAAGTTCCAAAGATTTAAAAAACACTAAAAATAAGAATATAAACATCACTGAGAACAATAAAATGCAAAAAGATTATATTTAAAGAAAATAAAATCAAAATTAAGTAGTTAAAAGAAATCAAAACAAAGAATAAAAATCAGAAACCAAAAGCATTAGGAGAAAGCCATCCTATAGAAATGAGTCTTCAACCTGCTCTTAAAGACTGACAGTGACGGGACTGTTTGAGAGTGGGAGCTGGTTCCAGAGAGAGGGTGCAAGGACTTGAAAAGCCTGCCCTTCCCGGGATCCACTGATTTCCTTCTTTCCAATTCAGCATTTCTCTCCCTTTCCTTTCCTTTTTAATCACAATATTTTTTCAAATTTTAAACATTTTAATCGTTTTTTGAAAACTTTTTATATTAGATAGATAGATAGATAGATAGATAGATAGATAGATGATTATGTGGTGTACTTTGACTTCCATACTAAACGCGTCTGCCATTTTTATGTTATCACTCTTTCTGACTGGATGAGTGAATAATCTTCTGAGTCAGTCAAACAAAGAAAGTCAACAATGACCAGACCTGTCAGCACTTAAGTTTTTTTCCCTATAATATTCGCCCTATGTGTGCTGCATTCGTCTCATCCTCTCATTCTCCGGGATCCTCCAGGCGGGAGGTGGTTTTCAAACTCTTAAAAACCCAGTAAACACACCCATAAGTGTTGCTCAGACTACTGAAGATAGACACCCTAACCCACTATCCTCTGGTGTAAAGTATGTAACTTCATGAGGGATCATATTTGCAGCTGTGGCTTGTTAAAGTCAGCAATGACGCTTGTTGCAATTTTGTGACTTTGGTGCTTAAAGGGTTAAATCAATCTTTGTACATACAAATCGATCCTCATGAATATTTATGAGGATTGGGTTTTCAACACGGCCCTATATTTCTAATAGCTGAAGATCTTGTGACTGCTTTAAACTTCGAATGGAGCCCTACAGAGTTTTAGGTCAAAAAGGTGAAAGGATTTTAAGGAAAAAATATATAAGGTCAGCAAAAGGTTGCAGAAAAAGCTGAATATCTCAAAAAAATATGAAAGCTATCAATGCCAAAAGTAATGTCCGGAAAGAGTTTAACAAGCTGAACGTTTTTGATACCAAATTTGCCCAAATAGCTGAAGAGTTGAAGCAGTTGACAAGGTATGGAAGCTGAACATAGAAGAATCAGAAGCATATAGAGAAACAGGATTACTATAGTTTAGGGGCTAACTACTCCAGTGACTCCTCAGGAGGTAGTGAGGAGGAGTATTCATGGGTAGTTTCTGCTAGTTAAGCCACAACAGACAGCTACAGTTTATAAGCTTGAGTCTCCCATATTCCAGTCGGAATTGAGAAAGCTCCTCAGATGAGAAGCAAAATGTCTGCAAAGGAATGTCTTGCATGGGTATCAGCCCTGAAGGAAGCCTCTCCTAAAGCCCACACACAAAAAAGCTCACTTAGGATTTGCTAAGGCCCATGCTGGAAGAGATGAAGACTACTGGGACTCTAGACTCAGGAGGGATGAGACAAAGATCTCTGTTTTGGGAACTAATGGTTTCAAAACTGTATGGCGTCGTAAAGGTGAGGATTTCAAAGAGAAAAGCATGGTGCCTACAGTGAAACACGGTGGTGGCGGTGACCTTATGTGGGCAGCATGAGTGCTGCTGGTGTTGGGGAGCTGCATTTCATTGATGGTATCATGAACTCATCAATGTCCTGAAGGACAAGATGCTGCCATCACATGGTGGTTGTGCACTTTTCCAACACGACAGTGATCCAGAACACTCATCTAAAGCTGCTGGTGCATTTCTGAAGAAGAACAGGGTGAAAGTGGTTGAATGGACAAGTGTCTCCTGATCTGAACCCAGTCCAACACCTGTGGGGAATTCAGAAGCAGCAAGTTGAGCAGCACTCTCCTTCCAGCATCCAGGCTCTAAAAGAGGTTCTTCTTGAAGAATGGAAAAATGTAGATGTTGCAATATGTCGCCACCTTGTTCATTCCATGCCTAGAAGACTTGGTGCTGTCACTGAAAATCACAGTAGTCAAACCAAATACTAGATGTAGTAGTTTTGTTGCGGCGTGTATTCATTTTGGCCTCAGCCAAATTTAGTAAATCAGAATATTTTATGATTTAAGTTATATTATTAACCTTAGTTTCATGTTACGGAGTTAAACACGTGTTCAGTAAAACCCAGCCTGGTGAACATTCTGGAAACTGTTCTTTTGTTCAGTGAGCTGCTCATTAAATTAGTACTTTTTAAAGGGAGTGTACTCATTTATGCTGAGCGCTGTACACACACTCACACTCCTTGTCTGCCGTCAGCCTTTCCCACACCTTTGGAAGATGACCTGCCACACACTTCCCCATCAGTCCCACCCCTGACATACAATTAATTTGTGGTCCGGACCCCACCCCATATTTGATGACCCCTACCCTACTCTATGGAATGCAGCATGGTTTGATGAGCTCTCATGTTTATGTCAGCACTCCACAAGAAATCAATAATTTTAAGTTAATAGTTATTCTTTAGAAAATAAGTAAATTTAATGGTAATTGGGTCTAACAAAAAGCTTATTAACCATTTTGTGTACTTGAAACAGGTGGTGGTCAGTGGAAGGAGTCAGAAGTCGTCAACTCCACACAGGGTTTCTATTCACTAACAGGCCTCCAATCAGGAACAGAATACCATTTGATGATCCTGAAAGGAAACAACACTCAGTGGCAAGATGTGAAATGGACCAGAGGGCCAGGTGTGTATCAGGAACAAGCAAATTTTTATTTAGTTACTGTTTTTTACATTTCTTTAAACTATACCTCATATTCTCAAAATGGTAAACAAAAAGCCTTAACGTCTCACAAAATTTCCAAAACATCATATTTTCAGGTCAATATCAAGCTCTACATTCAAGACATTACATTCACTCTTGCTGAAAAACCAGACTTTGCCCACAGACATCACACACAAGGCCTCAAAGACACACACACACTTAACATAGTCTTACGCATGGGTACAATAAATTCAAAACAATATTTGCAAAACTGGCAAGTTATGTTGCTTGTATAAAAACCATTTCACATGATGAACATGTAAACGGCAACCAATGTACAGGGAATGCAGAATTATTAGGCAAATGAGTATTTTGTCCACATCATCCTCTTCATGCAGGATAGGTAGGCCTCCTCATGGTACGTAGAGCGCCATGTTCTCTCCACTTTCCTAGAGTTTTGTTTTAAGGCTCATAAATGAGAATTAAACCAGGGAGCCAACTTCCTGTCCCTAATAACCTTCTTTTTTAAAGGGGCAACATCATCTAATGCCACACGTAAAGAGGAATTAACATGATGAACTAAGGCATCAATTTGTGAGGGGCTAGAACTGAAAATATTGCCCTCTGCTACGTTCCTCTGAGATGCTGAGGACAGTAAAGATGGAACAGTTGATTTAAAAGATGCAACTGCGTTGTCAGATAGACAGACTATAGTGAAATTTACTTTCATGTCTCGAGAACTTAGTTATAAAAAACTCAAAGGTTATCAGAAAGTGGTCCGAGAGGACTGGATTATGTGGAAAGATCGTTATTTCCTCACACTCTATGCCAAAAATCATCCAACTGGAATCCTTAAGGGCCCCGTAATGTCCATCATGTCAGAACAGGCCTTGGGTGCCCAGGTGTTACTAGAACTAAGGGTGTCTCCTCATCAGCGTGAGCCTCCACACTGTGAAGGTTGGTCTCCAAACATGAACTTTAAATTCATGCATTTATCTCCTCTTGTAACACTTTAACATGTTTTAAAAGGCTTGCATCATGATAAGTTACACCTCCCAGACCAAAGATAAGATAAAACATTATCATAGACACTATAGAGACGTCATTATTTATGAAATATGTTATTTTCCTGAGCCATTACTTCAGCCAAGATATAAGATGCATGGATTTGATGAAACCACACAGTCTCATGCAGCTGTATATGTGTAACACACACACACACACACACACACACACGCACACACACACACACACACACACACGCACGCACATGCACACACACACACACACACACACTGCAGCATGTTAGAATCATGTGAATGACTAATTTAACTACATTGAACTGCTTTTGTAATAATTAGGCCCGAGCAGCGAAGCTGCAAAGGCCTATTGTATCTGCTCTGTTTATTCTTTTTTTATTATTCTCGTGCCCCTTTTACGGCTTTTTGGGGACCTTAACATACCCCAAAACTCACAATATTTTGCAGACTTGTCAGTCCTGGTGAAAGATTTGATATTTTATAGGTCCCAAAAAAATTGCAAAGAAAATGGCTGAACAGCGCCCCCTACAAGGTGAAAAATACCCCTCTCCATAAAGCTTAGTTTAGTGTACAGTTATGAAATTTGGTACACTTGTAGTACTCAACAGTCTGCACAGAAAAGTCTCTTGCAACCATGGTCAATATCAAACAGGAAGTCGGCCATTTTGGGTTGAAATGGCTATTTTTTAGCCGTTTTGGCTGTTTTCAGGGTCCTTTTCTGATTGGATTGCTCGATCATTTTTCGCACGATCATCTCAAAAGTGGTGTAAAGGGATGGGCAAACAAAATGAGACAAGGATTCTGGTTTTCGTTTATTTTGAAGGGGCGGGGCCAGGCCTCGAAGTTTGACTACTCGCCAAAATTTTTTAAATTGCTATAACTTCATAATTGAATGGAACAGAGTTACAAAAATTTCTGTGGTCATTCGCCATCGACCCACAAACTAAATTGAATGGTCGGATGATGACATCACACAAGCCCCGCCCCCTCAGGACCAAAAAGGTCAAGTTTTACTATGATAGCCCCCAATTCGCCCCATTTCACTTAATCACGACAAATTTGTAGCTGTTAACTCAAGTCAAGTGGGGGTTGCATGGCGTCACTTTATGGGAGTTTTCTGCAGAGGGCGTGGCTGTGGCGGCGTGGCGAAGTCAGGCGTACCACCGTGGCCTTACGTTTGCCTCCCATTTCATCATTTCTAAAGATATCATCACGAAACTTCTTGTGAGTGATCCTAGTCTGGGCCCCCAAAAAATCTGATGTGAAAATCCGGTGGGCGTGGCCTATTTTCTGAAATAGCACCCCCTAGGACCATTAAAACTGTCAGCCCCAAGCCATGCTTTGACTGAGGATGACGACATTTGGTACACTAATGTGGTGTCTCAGGACCTACAAGAAAGTCTCTTGGAACCAAGTGCAAAGTCGCACAGTAAGTCGGCCATTTTGGTCCAAGTACTCGATTTAGTGGTTTTCGCACACGTTGTTTTGTCATTGATGCCCCGTCGCCCTTTTCACCAATCACCTTCAAACTTATGCTATGTAGTCTTAAGACAAAGGGGAAAAAATTCAACCGTCGGATTTTAAATACGTTTAAAGGTGTGGGCGTGGCTAAGCCTCAAACTTTCACCTTTCGCCATTACATTACTTGACTTAATAACTCCCATGTGCATGATCAGATCTATATCAAACTTTGTCTGTGTGATCACTGACCACATCTGAAGACAGTGACAATAAGGACAACTGACATCACCTAAGCCCCGCCCCCTGACTACAGGAAGTCTATTGTTTTATGGTGAAATGCCCATTTTTGTCCCCTCTAATTTAGTCAACATGACACTAAAATCATGCACTGTCTTCATGATGCTGTAATTACCATTCAGATCTGATAGCTTTCCAGATAGGGAGGGGCTTTGATGCCATGGCGAATTCTGGCTTGGCGCTGTGACCTTACAATTCAATTTAATGGTGAGCTCAGAGGGGATGCTGAGTCAGGGTGAGGTGCGGACTAGGAGGCCGTTCGCGGTTTCTGGTGTCGGGGTGGTTGACGTTTCTGTTCTGCCAGACGTGCCCTGGTGCCCCTGGCTGCCGGCCAGGACCGAGCAGTGCGGAGCTGGGTTTGGAGAGCGTCGGGGATGGAGCGGAGGGGGTGCGGACGGAGGGCGAGCAGCTTCGCTGCGAGGGCCGAACGACGCTGCTTGCATCTTTAATTTAATCTCTTATTCTGGAGTAAATTAAAGAAACAAGCTAAATCATCACACATCTGTGAACAGTATCAGGAACTCACAGAGGCCTGCAGGTCTTCTGTTTTATGAGCAAAGCGCTGAGAATCCGCTTGTTATGAGCGCGAAACGTTATTTTGCCGCTTCCGTGCGGAGCGGTAGAGAAACACATTTCAAACACGGAACCGTGTCTGGCTACCGAACCGAGCAGAATTCTGATGATGTCACACCAGTGCGCGAAGGTGCGGGTTCCAACCCACAGGAGAGGAGGGAGAGAGAAGGTAAACAACGAGTTGAGGGACTGAACTGATGTCTTTGAGCAAAAGTGTACACTCCATTCATTCCGGTACACTGATGACTTCACTGACACTACAGCACTACAGCAGGTGCTGGTGACCTCTAGCCCAGATTTTGGTGACTCACCTACCAAAGGTGAGGTTGAACGGTGCCCTGTACCACTATGGATCTGATCTCTCTTACTGCACCTGCGCGTCGACTGAGGGTCCTCCAGAGCGCTCACTTGCGCCGAACCCTCGCAAGGCCGTGCCAGTCTACAGTCTACAACGTTCCTGGTTTCCATTTTCAGGTCTGACACAATGCGTTTTTTTAGTGGCGTGTTTCGGTCTACTATCAACCACAGTTGAAATTCATTGTCAGCCACCTCTAACACGTCTGTACGAACCTGGGCCCTCTTCGGGTATCACACTGCGAGACCGCCTAGGTCAACTAATGACTAACTATCGTCTACTAGCGTGTACTGATAAGATGACAAATGCTTTCAGCAACCTCTCGGAAATGGGGGCCCACTGGACTAATACCCTGACACAGCATGCAGAAGCTGATATCTGTCACATGCTAATTCAGGCACTTAAATTCACAGTTTCAAACAGTGACCTTTCCGGTACCACCATTAGGCCAAAGCGTTTCCTGGACAGATTTTTCTCAGTTGCTAATACAATTGGCAATCTTTCAAATTTCGGATTCTCTTCAGTCAACTCGATTGAGATTAACACAGTTCGTCGACACATTGATGAGCTTAACAGAGAATATCCGGCTCTGCGTAACCAGTTACTGCAGCAGCGGCGGGCCCTGGGACAGCTGGGCACATCTGAAAAACAGACTATGGTGGTACTCAACACTCGTATTGACATTTTGCGTGAAACAACTTCCGCTGTGAATGAGTTGTGTTCCTTTTTGAATGTTGATTATGCTCATACACAGATGCTAACCACTTGCCTGTCCGACTATGGTCGGGACGTGAGCGCCTCGATCGAGACCCTCCTCATGGGGAGGATCCCCATGAGGAGGGTCAGTTCATCCAGTTCATCCATCCAGTTCATCCACTCAGGGTCAGCGCACTCAGTTCATCCAGTTAAAATCCTTTACCTCAGAACCCTCCCCAGTCAAGTCAGGTGTGCCCCAGGGCTCTGTCCTGGGGCCCCTCCTCTTCATAGTATATCTCCTCCCTATCGGCAAAATCTTCCGCAAATTCAATATCCAGTTTCACTGCTTTGCGGATGACACCCAGCTCTACATTTCCAGTAAGCCCAACTCAACTCTTCCACCATCCTCCCTTACACTCTGCCTCTCTGAAATCAAATCATGGTTCACCTCTAATTTCCTCAAACTCAATGGCAATAAAACTGAACTTCTTCTAGTTGGCACTAACTCCACCCTCTCAACATCTGACAGCTTTTCTTTAACTATTGACAACACCATAGTC